TTGGGCACTTGAAATCAGTAAATAGGCAGTTTCTTGTACTCAATTGATAGAAAAAATGGAGTTCTAAAGAAACTGTTATGAGTTTGGTCGACTGGGACAATGGAATTGGCTGAAAATAGGGTTCAAAATCGGTGAAATCGCCAATGCGTATATATTGCTGAGATTGCAAACGTTGTGGGAGCATAATTCCGTATGTTTTTCATAAAATTTCTTACTTTTGGTGTCATTAGCATCGGGAAAAGATTCTCTGTCATACGTCACCCACTTAGCTACTCCTATCCCAGCTCAGCAGGTGGTATTGTGCCTTATACAAGACCACAGACCTACATCCCTGCAGCTGCCTCAGTACCCTACCTCTCTCAAGGGCAGGCACCTTACATTCCCTACACACCCACCACCTCAAGCTGACCACTTCATCATGAGGAGCCAGTCTATCAGCATCCTGTCAGCCAACATTAGAGGTTTCATTACTAATGTTGGAGAGCTCACACATAGTTTTGTGAACACTCGACGTCCTGACATGATAGCTGTTGTTGAAACAAATTTTTGGGTGACAGGACTCCAGAAAATTTTTCAAGAATTGCTGGCTACACCTCATGGATGAGAAGGGACAGGCAAGGGCAAGGAGGAGGTGTTGCTCTGTGCTTCTCTAAAAGTGTTCATGCCCAGAACGTTGATGTTGCCACCCCTACACATCTTGAAATGATGTTCTTCAAGCTCTGTATAAATACTAGTACCTCTGTACTAGCATGTGCAATGTACAGACCTCAGTGGCAACATGCAGACCCCATCAACTTCCTAATGGAAAATATTGACTCCCTTTTGCTACAACACAACTGTCAACATATTATAATTGTTGGTGACCTCAACCAGCACCTTATACAGAGGGACTTTGATGACCTTCTTGCAGTGTTTGACATGAGAAACTTTGTTGATTTCCCTACTCATATCTCTGGCTCCTCCCTTGACCCAGTAGTGAGTGATCTGGCAGAAGCATAGTCCACTTGTCAACCCCTCGGCTACGTTGGATCGTGTGACCACAAGGCTGTTTTTACGACACTTAAGATCCCAACAGAACGAGGTGAGGAGTCCACACGCACAACCTGGCTATGGGAAAGAGGTAATTGGCCAGCCCTTCGCTCTGAGCTCGCCACCACCGATTGGAATGCTCTTCTCCAAGGGGATGTTGACAACCAAGTGAAAGCCTTCACTGGACACATCCTTAATCTACAACAAGAACACATTCCTCACCGGCAATATGTGACAAAGCCTACAGATCAGCCTTGGTTTGGCTTTCGTTGTAGAGAGGCTGCTACTGCTAAGTACAAAGCATGGAGAAGGTATAAGAGACATCCTACCACCTATAACAGGAACTTGCACACGCAAGCCTGTAGGCATATGGGTGACGTTCAAAAGTGGGCCATTGCTAAATGGGAGGTGGACACTAAAAGAAAGCTAGCAACAGGTAGGGTAGCTCCAAAACCTGTGGTCCATGGTCAAGGACAGACAAGGTTTATCTGCCTGATGAGCTCATTCCACCTCTAAATTGACAGGATGGGACCACCTCTACTAGTAGTCAAGAGAAGGCGGACCTCTTTGCTGAACACTTTGCTATCAAAATGCAAGTTCCTGATCCAGCAAGGGACCCTCCTTGGCTAGCTGCAAGAACTGTGTCAAAACTGTCAGCAGTGACAATAAGGCAGGAGGAGGTGCATCTCCTTAAATCGCTTGACCAAGAAAAGGCTGTGGGCCCAGACAAGTTGAGCCCAAGATTGTTGAGAAGATGTGCAGACCAGCTAGCAGCACCTCTAACTCGCATCTTTCAGCACTGCCTAGTACAGTGTAAATGGCCCTCTCTATGGAAAGGCAAATGTAGTCCCTGTTCACAAAAAGAAGAGCAGAGCAGAAATCAGCAACTACAGACCAGTGTCACTCCTGTCAATCACTGGTAAGATCCTTGAGACAATAATCTCAAGACAAATGACAGAGTTTTTTGACTACCACTCACTACTTTGTGATCGTCAATATGGCTTCAGGAAAGGTTACTCTGCTGCTGATCTGTTGTTAAACCTCTCCACTAAGTGGCACCAGTCACTGGATGAATCCAAAGTCAGCTGTGTGGTAGCACTGGACATTGCTGGCGACATTGCTGGCGCTTTCGACCGGGTGTGGCATCAGGGCCTCTTAGCAAAACTTCAAGCACTGGGAATTGCAGGCTCTATGCTATGTCTCCTCAGTGATTACCTTCATGGTAGATCTCTAAGTGTAGTTCTCAATGGAACGGAATCAGCAAGACATCCTATTGGGGCAAGTGTTCCACAAGGAAGCGTGCTGGGTCCATTGTTATGGAATGTCTACTTCAGTGACCTTCTTCATCTCATCCCAGAATCACATGCATATGCAGACGACTGTTCACTGACATTCACTTATCCAAGAGAAGAAATGCCAGCTGCTCTAAGCTACATCAATCACCAGCTGAGAGCTATATCAGCTTGGGGAAATAGATGGCAAGTAACATTTGCACCTGAGAAAACGCAAATGATGATCGTCTCTAGGCACCATGATGGTAATGCTGGTGCAGTAGTAAGGATGAATGGGAGGGTGTTGGTACCTGGAGAAGAAGTTTATATCCTTGGGGTGAAATTTGAATTATAGCAGTGTATACAGACAAGGATGTGAATCATAGCATTGTATACAGACAAGGATGTGAGTCATAGCAGTGTAAACAGATAAGAATGTGAATTATAGCAGTGTATACAGGCAAGGATGTGAATTATGGCAGTGTATACAGACAAGGATATGCTGACACAGAAAATACACTGAAAAGAGCTATAGCCAGTCACACTGACCAAATAACAACCCTAAATATGAAGGTTAAAGAAACAATCAAGGATTGGAATCAGAACATGCACACTCAACTGAATGAATACTTTGAGTTCCAAGATGACAAAACTGAACAAGTTGTCTGATGCAATTATAATAAACAGCCCACACGTTCCTAGTGACATAACCCAAGCACAGTGCAAAGATACTGCTATCAGGTAATACATGACCAGACCAGTACGAGTTATCCTGCAAAACAATGAAAATCAAAGAAACATTTTGCTAGTAAAACAAGGTAGTAGACACAGTATTATGATCAAACTTCATGATATGATAAAATAAAGGACCTAATTAAATCACAATTACAATGAAAATTATTGTATCATCAACGAGTGTCATAACGAGAAAAAACTTCAAAACCATCTGTTCAGGATGAGAAAACTTAAGGAAAACAAATATATACGTCAGGTTTCACTCGATATGCGAAAATACTAGTTAGGAAAAACTCAACAGGACAAACAATTACACTATCTCACAATTAAAGTTATTTCTCTACCATCCTTAGTAAAAAGCTACATTTCCATAACATTAGATAATTGTCCTTTACTCACACATACGTTTGTTCATATAGTGTAACGTACTAATACATTAATGTACATTATTGTACATATTTTTATTACTAGCTAATAATACCAGCTACCCCAAATACTTTTACTACATTTTTGAATTGCCTTATTAAATGCTGCAAATATTTGTGTGGCAAGTCAAACTTACACCTAAATTTAATGTTCTTCAATGTATAAAATCCAGACTATCAGCATAAAAAGTAAAGTAAAACATGAAAACCAAAATAAAACAAATAAAATAATGTCATTACGAAAAGGTGTATGTTGAAATTCAGTAGTAAAGTTCAACATACGACCATTTTTGACTTAGGACCGTCTGGTTTCTTCTCGGAACTCATTCGTAAGTCGTAAGGTAGGTGTACTTATTTTAGAGCCATTTATATTGTGTGGTGCAAATAGTGTATTAGCCAATTAGAGTAAATACCAATTAGTGTATATACCATTTAACTTAATGTGGTCATGTTCCGTGCAGAACAGTCATTTACTAGCTAGTACCAACTACCTATATTTTTTTTTTACTTTGTATATTGGCTAATAATTGCTCAAACTTAATACATATTACAAGTCAGATCTTACTCTAAATCAGTATTATATCACAGTACTATCTGCCAATTATCTTTGATTTACCATTACTTAGTATTTAATCCTTGTAAATTTTACTCCTTCATTTAAGCTTACATAACAATCCTTAGTTCATATATCACATTGTTAAAATAATCAAAAGTGTATTCTCATGAGTCTAAAGTGGTAATACATTCATTATTTTTAAATATTTTATTCCTACTCCCTTATTTGTTACCACTTTATTTGTTCACTATGCACTACGATATTTTTAGTCCCTTTTAATAGTTGTCTCCTTTGTTTTAAGCTTTAACCCTTTGACTGTCGTGGTCCGTATATAATATACTCATAGGAGATACCGTGTAATTAACTACACAGCAGAACAATCAAGGCACTTCTCATAGCCAACAACACCAAAACTATCTTTACTACAACGTCAGATCTATAAGCAAACATTACGATGACCTCACAGCATTACTAAATTCCCTGCATGCCAGTATTTCCAATCATTACTCTCACCGAAACACTGACTAAAAGCCAGATTATTACAGACATCTATGCCCATTCCTGGTTACATAGACATTCCACAACTTACTCATGAGCCAGATCAACAAGGAGGTGGCACAGCTATATACTACACAGACAACTGAATGTATCACTAATACTTGCACAAGGGATGAACATGAGGAATATATAATCGCTAAATTCAAAATCCAAATACCTACAAAAACCTCTCACAAGTGATGAATCATCTACAGAGAACCACAGTCAAACATTAGTCATTAATGAAAACCTATGGAAGTATGATAAAACTGATGGCAACACATATGAATAAAGTATTCACTTACTACTCTCAGGTGACTTCAATATAAAATCCCTTCAAGACCAGGACCACACATTACGAATTCACAAACACTATGAGTACCTGCTTGATGCTACCAACAGTAACACAACCACCTAAGAATTACAGAGACCAGTGTTTCCTCCCTATTAGACCACAATCTGGAACAACACCATATACCCAGTTAAATCAGGCAAATCACATATAATACCACAGACCACTACCCTACACATATCTATAACCAAACTAGGTAATTACGTCCCAAGACACTACTAAAGTAACTTTCACTTCATAATGAGACTGCCAATAATAACTTCACACAGCAATGACAAACATGCAGACTGGCTAACAGTAGCTGCAAACCCTATACAGATACTGACTGAATGTATTTAATTTGATTTTCTAAAAATGACCCAATACCCCTATAACACGCACTGTCCCCGTAAAAAACCAAACAGATCATAGCTAAGATGACTGAACAGTCCTGTTAACACCAGCATCCATCTAATCCATAAATATAAATCACCCTATAATGAAAAACATTATAGAAAGGGTCACAAACCAGAAACCAACAAAATGATACTCTCAATCCTAACCAGCCTGATAAGAAAGGCAAAAAAATTGATATATTAGAACAGAATTTCAAACTTACGTGAGGTGATAAAAAAAAGACCTGGAAAACCCCTATCAGAATTCAAGGAACAAAAAAGATATCAGGAAACAGAGCAAACAAACTAACAAACCCAATGAACCCCAACTCCCACGCAACTGAAAACAGCAAACAGTCTCAAAGTTTCTTCTGATAAAATCCCAAGCTCAAATACCCCACCCAGTGACTACCTCACTGGCAACCTAACCAGAACAGCACTGTTTCCTATCTCCGACAACTCCAACAGAATTCTGCCCTAATTAACGTCACACTAAAAAACAAACATGAGATTTAAATACCTTACCGACCCTTTATATACACAAAACTACACAAGCTCTGTCACCATCATTGCAACACTCTTTAAAACACATACATCAATCCTCTACTTCCCCACAAGTTCTCAAAATAACAGGTCACCCCGATAACATAAAGGAGGAGATCAAACGACTTGAATAATCTGGAGCCAATATCCAGACTTACACCCCTGCTCTGATAAATCTTTGAAAAATTAATTCCATAAGTGATTCTATTCCTTCCCATTCCCAAACATACTCAAAAACCCCTGATCACAGTTTGGGTTCAGGCCTAATAAAATATGAATGAACGCTAATTAGACATTCTATAATAGAATATACACTGGCAATCGAGAAAAAAAAAATTCCTTAGGGTGTCTTCATTGATTTACGTAAAGCTTTTGATACAGTTGACCATGGATTGTATTCTGCGCATAAAATTGTCTCACTATGTTATAATGTTCTCTCTCAACTACCTAAAGTTGTACCTTAGTCACAGAATCCAGTAATGTGTACACAATGGAGCAGTCTCTGCCACACGCTTATTACGGTTGTATTTCCCACAAAAGTGTCCTTGGCCCTCTTCTCTTTTTCATTTACATAAACGACCTTACCAAATGGCATCACAACTACTCAAACCCACAATATTGTCAGATGACACTTCATACGTCTTCTCGTCACCCAAGCCCAGTCATGCTAGCCAATACTGTAAATACGAATTTACAGAAAATATCTACCTGGATGATGATTAACAAACTGTACTCTCAATATTGACAAACCCCACTTCATAACCAGTATGTGAAACAGAACCACAGATGTCCCTCTTAACATAATGATAAACTGATCACCTAACACAAAGCTCACAGAGGAAAATTTCTTAGGAATCCCACCTTGATAAAAGACTCAGATTTCAAACACATATACAACATATTTCGCAAGAAAACTCCAAGACGTAGCATACTATCGAATATACGTTACTAATGTTTCCACCTTCCAGCCCTCCTGGCCCCTATATCACATCGCTCATTTATCCGACGCACCATATGGAATTGTGCAAGGGGCACAACAACGAAAAACCATGCACACTCATTAATTACTCCAACAAAAGGCTGCAGTCAGAATGATAACAAATTCCACTACAGGCATGCACACACCAACCAATATTCATACTCAAAACTTACTCATCTTAGAAAACATCCATACATATTATTGTACCTACTACATACATAGAACACTTAAATCAGAGATAAACCCGTCCCCTCAAACTCTCCTTACCAACTCTCAACAGAAAACATGACCATTACAACACAAGACACAGATCACACTTTTGGATGTTCCTCCGTCATCTCACACTATGAAAAAATGCAATGCACATAAAGGCCCAAAAATCTGGAGTTCATTACTTATGAATAAAAAGAAACACTGTCCTTTTATCAATTCAAGTGACTCCTTTGAAAAACCCACTTTAATTTATTTAATAGAAAAGATGTTAGTAATTTAAGCATACATACAGAGGTTACAAAAAAATACAGGTAAGAGCAGCATGCCAATCCACTTATATGCATAGGTAAAAAAAACATAACGGCTGGTCTTAAAAATTAACTAAGAGATAAACTAATGCAATGATGACATCAGTGATAAAACATTATTGTAAACAGATAACTATAAAGAGCACAAATGAGTTTACAAAGACAAGGTCATATGGTTGCATGCATTGTTGTACATTCAGTCGAATGGGCTCATTCAGTAGGTAGTGTATTTAGAAAAAAAAAATAATAAAGTTAGATTGGGTCCCTAGGTTTAAGCATTTGTGTGAATAAAATTTGCGAGTAACATTTAGGATATACAATTTATAAGGTTCAGTATTCTTATTTATTTGATTTGAGTGATTAAGTGATACTTTGAGAAGAGACTTGAATTTATAAAACATGAAAGTGTTTCTTTATTATATTTACAGTTAAGTAATTCCAGATTTTAGGGCCTTTTATGTGCATTGAGTTTTTGCATAGCTATAGATGGACACGAGGAACATCAAAGAGTGATCTGTGCTTGATTTATGGACATGTGTTCTGTTTAGGTTGGCCAAGGAGATGTTTGAGGGGAGGGTTAATAACAGAGGTTAAGTGTTCTATGTAATGATACTATGTTCAGTAATAAGTAGGATGTTTTGTATTGGTGAGTAGAGGTTGAGTGTTTTGAATATTGGTGGAGTGTGCTGCCCTGTATTGAGAATTTGTTTAACATCTAACTGCAGCCTGTTTGTGGGTAATTTTAGTGGTCTGAGGATTGTTAATTATGTTGAGCCCCTTGCACAAATCCATAGTGAGAATAGGGTAATTAAGAGAGTGAATAAAGGGCCAGGAGGGCTGACTGTGGAACATAGTAACCGTATCTACGATAGTATTGCCACAGTCTTGGAAATTTTCTTAGAAATATTGTTGTAATATGTGGTATGGAAAATTTGAGTCCTATTATCAGAGGTTGATTCCTAAGAATTTTCCCTCGTTAGCTTTGTGATAGGTGATCGTTTTATCGTTATGTAAGAGGTACATCTGAAGCTCTGTACCAAAAACCCCTGAATGAATTAGGTTTTTGTCAATGTTTAGTGTAAGTTTGTTAGTCCTCATATCCACATGTAAGATATTTCAGTAATCGGTGATTTCAGTATTGGCTAGCGTGACTGTGCTCCGTGTGAGAGAAGACGTATTTAGTGTCATCAGCAAAAGTGTGGGTTTTGAGTAAATGCGAAGCATTTGGTAGGGTCTTTTATGAATAGGAAGAAAGAGAAAGGGCCAAGGACACTCCCTGTTGGTACACCAACTGTATTGGTTGAAGCGGAGAGCTTGCCCCATTGCGTACACATATTGGCCTTCTGTTTCTAGGATATGACTTGAGGTATTGAGGGAGTGCCCTCTAAAAAAAAACCATAATTTGACAATTATACATGGAGCAAGAGTCATGGTCCAACTGTATCAAAAATCTTACGCTAGTCAATGAGGATACCCCAGTGGACTTCTTTTTTCTCTCTATTGCAGTGTAATATTATTTCCAGCATGTGCATAATACATCATTAGTATTATTATTAGGCCTGAATCCCAACGGGGGGGGGGGTCCAACTGGCAGGGGTTTGAATGTTTTGGGAGAATTGAGGTAGGAGAAGATTCGTTTATGAATTAATTTTTTTCGAAGATTTTTGAGAGGAGGGGTGTAAATGGGATTATTGGCCTATAGTTAATTCAAACCTCTGGTTTGGTCTCCTCCTTTATGGATCGGGGGGAACCCTTGCTATTTTGATAGCTGTAGGAAGGTGGAGGATTCAATGGATTTGTTAAAGAGTTTTGTCAATGATGGTGATAGTACTTTGACACATTTTGTATATAAAGGGTGGTAAGGTATTTAAATCTCCAGCCTTGGTTTTTTAGTGCGTTGATAATAAGGGAGACTTCGTATGTGTTAGTCGGAGCTAGGAACATTGTGTTCGGGTAGTTGCCAGTGAGGTAGTCATTTAGGTGGGGTATCTGAGCTTGGGATTTTATTGGCAAGGTTTTGGTCCTATAGTGGAGGAAGAAATCATTGATCTGTTTCAGTTTCTGTTGGTGGGAGTTGGGTTCATCTGATTATGCTAATTTTTATTTCGCTATTTCGTTATATCTTTTTGTTCCCAGAAATTCTGATAGGGTTTTCCAGGTCCTTTTTTATATCACTCTCGTAAGTTGATAATCAGTTCGCATAAAACAATTTTTTGCCCATCTTATCAGGATGGTTTGGACTGACGAGTAACGTTTTTGTATGGTCTCTGGTATATGTTACCCATCTGTACTGTTTTTCCATATCCCGGGTGTTTTGTATTAATGGATTTGAGATATGGCTGGGGATAGCCATGGGACTGTTCAGTCCTCTAGCTGTCATCTGTTTAGATTTTTAGGGCTGTGCTTTTATAGAGGTATTGGGTCTTTGTTTAGAAAATTATTAAAACTTCATCATATCTGTATAGATTTCTAGCTCTGTTGCCAGTCAATGTTTTACTGCTGATGTGAAGTTAGTAAAGGCTGCCTCATTGTGAAGACTGGAAGGGTACGGTTGTAGTGTCCTTGGGGTATTTAAACCAAGAGTTGTTACGAGAAAGTAGGTAGTGGTCTGTGGTATAATCTGTAATTATGCCTGATTTTAAAGGGGATATGGTTTTGTTCCAGATGTGTCTAGTAGGGAAACACTAATC